AAGAATTTCTGCATCTGTATTCATGAGGGATATTGAGTCTTCTTTTCCCCTTGAATTCTCCCTACTAGTTTATCGAGGTAGTGCTATCCTCAGAATAAGTTTGGGAAGTGTTTTCTCCTCAAACCTGAGAAAAAATAGCATGTTAGTGCTTAATGTTTGGTGAATCAACAGTGATTCACCCCTTCCTCTTCTCTTGGTATACCTCATTATTCTTGCATTGGAGTTTCTAGTAGAGGTAAGTTTCTAGTAGAGGTGAATATAAGTTTTGTAGGGTTTTTTTCCCCACTTTTTCCAATCTTCATGTTCTTTCCTCTTCTTGCCTGAATCATTCATAGATTCCTGCCCATCAGCTGGTGATGACATCATCCATTCGATCTGTTCTACTTCCAGTATGTTTCAGTTCATTCTTTATCTTCTTGATTGAAATAGTTACAGAAAACCCTAAGAGTTATGTATTCGATCTCTTTGGTAAAGTTCTTCTGTTCGTTAACTATATTCATACTAAATTCATTACCCTTCTGAGCTTTGTTGTAGTTCTTTAAATTTGTTCATAACTGCTCTTTTGAATTCTTTATTAGTGGCGATACTGTATCTTTCAGTATTTTGAACGTCATTTCATCCTCTTCTGACCCTCAGTGTTTTCTATTGAGAATCCTGATAAACTTACAGTGTTCTTCCTAATTTTTCTCAGAACTGCTTTTGAAATGATTGCTTTGGCTTTTGACAATTGTAATGTGTGTCTCTCAAGTCCAATCTATTTTGGATTCTTTGAGACTAAAGAGTTTGTCTGGATGTCCATATATGTCTGCACATCAGTCACTATTGATTTCTACATATTTTCTGTCCTTTATGCTTTTTCTTATGGAATTCCCTTAATGTAGATATTACTACTTTTGACTGTTCTGTAACCACTGTAAGGTTTTCTTCCCTTTTTCATGTTTTTCTATCTTGCAGGTCACAGATCCGCTGAGGCTGTTGTATCTCTTGAATGTTCAGTTCATTGTGGTTTTCAGCTTTAGGAATTCTGAGTTTCTAATTAAGGCTTCTACTTATCCATCTCGTATCCATGCATTGGCTTCCTCATTTTGTTCAACTGCTTGTCCATCCTTGTAACTCACTAAACTTGAAGATTATTTTGATAAGTTGGCTAGTTGAAACAGCTCCATTTCTTCAGGGTCAGTTGGGGTTAATGAAACTTCCTTTGGTATCATGTGTACCAAATTTTCATGATCAATTCCTCACCTATCTTCACACTGGCATATTTAAATAAGCTCTCTTGTCTTCCAGACACTACAGGTTTGTCTGGCAGACAGTTCTGGACCCGTCAGCTCGGTAAGGGAGGGGTGTGTGTGTGTGTGTGTGTGTGTGTGTGTGTGTGTGTGTGTGTGTGCCATGACCTTGGGCAGGTGATTGTTGTGATTTGGGTATATTCTGGGGCCAAGCAGCTGTCTACACTCTGCTGGGGGCTCGCACTGTTGGGCAGAACTGCTTTGGGTCCCTGCCAATGTGAGACTATACAGTAGGTTCCACAGCTGCCGGGGTCCTGGGGAGGCTTGCTAGATGGTCAGGACTGGGGGGGTGATACTTAGCAGTTAAGGCTCTATATCATCTCTGCACTGGGGTAGCAGCGGGGCACGTTCCAGGGCCTGCATGACTGGCTGTTTGGGGATCCCAACCGGGCAAGACGTGCATAGTGAACTCCCTGGTTAGACGGGGCCACTGGTTTTGCTTTGCCAGTGGGGAGAGGCAATATCTGTTCACAGGCCACTGTCAACAAGGCTGTTGGATGGAATACGCAGCCTCCTGTGTGTTCTGGCTAGGGTCCACGGTGCGGAAGGCTAACGGCTATATACAGTAGTGGGCAGTGTCACCGTTTAGTTCCTCTGGCCTGGCCCAGTGGAAGAACTAGTTCCAAGGTCAGCAAGACTTGCTAGCTTACTGCACAGAGCCACTGTCTTTTTCTCTCGAGGTTATCCTCTACCGGCTGCAATTTCTGCTCGAGCATTGCTGGGCTACACAACCTCTAGTTATCCTGGCCAGGCTTTCTTGCCAGGTAAGATTGGGAATTTCAACAGTGGGCAGGGCCATAGCTCCGTACCCCTGTCTGAACAGAGGAAGTCCAGACTGGGGGCTGGAGCGTCTCTGAAGAGGGGTAGAACTGCTTCGTGCCAAGTTCCCCGGTCGGACATGCCACTAGCTTGGTTTTGCAGATGAGCAAAGCTGTTGGATGGGACTGGGTCTGCCGTGATCCACATGGTGGCCGTTGCAAGTCCCTCCCCCTGTCCGTATTGATTGATCAAATCCCCAGTGGTCATGGGTCCCTTAGATGCCCCAGACAGCGACCGTGGGTGCTCTTTCATTGCTAGAAAAACTGTAGGCACAGGGGTGACCTTCATCATGGTGGTGCAATGGCCTGGGAGAGGCAATATAGCCAGCCACCCCTCCTAGCAGTAAAATGCAGTCAGTCTTGATCCTTGTTATTACAGGGCAGAGCTTCAACCTTAACTTTTTGCTCTAAGGGTTCCCTCGTGGTCATCGTCGGTATCTTGTCTATAGAAATAGTTGTTTCTGTGTGTGTTTCTGTGTGTGGGAGTAAAGTCGGGAACAGCCTCTGTTGACATTCGGTGATGTAACTGTTGCAAAACTTTAGTTTGCAGTGGCGACTGTTGGTGAGAGTGAGTGTGAGGAAATAGAAGAAAATGTTCTTGCTGCTAGGTGGGTGAAATAGTCCTTTTCGGAAGGGTACCTTAGCATAGGTGCAAGAAAGTATTTCCTGAGGTTAATAAGATGGAAGTAAATACCGTGTACATGCCTAGTCACTACAACATCCTAAGACATAAAACTGAGCTTCCTAAACAGGTTAAGGAATTATTGTCTAATAGCAAGATAATATACTAAGCAACTGATCATAATCAAGTCCTCACGGAATATGTAATCTCAGAAAATGTTCATGAGCAACACAGAAATGATGTTAGAACAGTACGGCCTGTGTCAGCCCGATCTTGTAAGTTGAATGAGATAGATCTGGAAAAAGATCGGGCAGTTGCCTTGGGATAATATCACACGGCTCTGGATGATGAGACTACAGGGGATTGTCTTAGTCTTACTTTATTCTTTACTTTGTAATGGTTGTGTTGTGAACATATGTTATCAGAAAAAATGATAGGAAGAAAAACAACCTGGGCGAGGTGATCAGGCTGAAGGGCATTGCAATGATGACACGTGCGTGTGAGGAAACGTCCAGGCCTCAGACGTGTCAGTCCCTCCCACCGCGCACTCACTCTCCCTCTGTAAACTGAGCCCATTACTCCTTAGAAGCTCAAGTCTCCCCTAGCAGATATAATGGAGATGACTTGCTGATTGCTGCGATCCTTTCCAGATTGAAAGTGCCATAATTCTACAAATCTGTCAATTATTCACCTTCCATTAAGGGCATTGATAATTCTGCCCAAAGACATTCAACTCCCCTCAAAATCAAACACACACAAAATAGTGTAGCACAACAGCATTCCCTTAGATTAAGCCCATTTATGAGACAAAATCAAATGCCAAAGGATAGGTGGCCTGTTATTAACAACATTTAAAAAAAAATCCTTGAACTTATAGCAGGCACTTTAAAGTACATGTTTTTATTACTGTAATCTTTAAGTATATTTTTAGTGGAAGCCATTAGCCCTCCCGCTGCTAATGGGTTGTCAGCATTTCCATTAGAAGCCCACTTTCTAAGGAATCCGCAACTTGTCTGCTGGAGTTTGACTCAAGCTCATAACTGAGAATAATCTGCCTAAGGAGATGAAAGAATGTGAATCCTTAATGATAAACAATAGTATCGTACTTCCTGAAGTGTGATTTTCATGCCAAACAACCGTAGGCCTAGATCAGAAACATGGATGTTTCTGGGGCATTTTGCAGGGCGGTTCCCTTGCAAAGGACCGAAATTAAAATCGGGTCAGGAGACAGTTTATAATGAGCTTCCTGGGAAGAAAAGCACTTTAGAAATGTAATAAATAATGAAGACCATGGCATGGCACTTTCAAAGAGAAAAGGTATTTAAATTCAATCTTTAACTGTGTTAAGAGGTTTCATTTATAAGTTTTCCTCCCAGAAAGGAACCCTATTTATAGTCCTGTCCATGTGAAGGTAACTTTCTGTGCCTTTCCACAAAGTTTTCCCTTGTAAAGTTGTTAACATCCAGGGAGGCAGTGAGCTCTTGAAGAATCTTTAAAAGTTTCAGTATCCAGTACATTCTGGCATAACCATCAGAGGAAAAAAAAAAAAAACCCTCCTGACATCTGGTAAGATGGCAGTCCAGAGGTACAGGTCTGGTCCAATGAACAAACGCCAACCTTCCACAGTGTCTGCTCCACCTGGTCAGGGCCACCGGCCAAGGGCTTTCGACTTTGAAATAACCGACTCCTGCCCACAGCCCAAGAAGCAAAGGCCTTCCCCAAGGCAGCCTAACTGGGAGGGACACTGCTCCCGGGCAGCTGTCTGGGGACCGTGACTTTCATAGTCAATAGCTTTTCATGTTATTCATACATATTTAGTCTTTGCAGTGGTTAAAGTGAAATTTTTGTAGTCGAGTGTCAAAGTGGGAAAGGCAATTCAAGTCCACACTGAATTCCATATTGCTTTTTCTCAAAATCAGGCTTAATTAGGCAGTAGTCACAGGATACAGCCACTGAAGAACACAAGCATCACAAGACGGTAAGTGCTGGAGAAGACGTGGAGAAGCTGGACACTGATGGGAACATAGAATGGAATGATGCGATCACATGACAGCTACTCCACTTCTGGATGTTTGCCCAACGGAACTGAGAAGGGACTCGGAAACATCACAGAAGTAATGAAGCATTTGAAAAGCTGAAATCTAATGTGTGTGAATACAGGAGTAAAATGGGGGGAAAAAGTGAGGGGAAAAAGTGAACATCACGTCTTACTTGTGTTAATGTTTTGAGTTTATTTTTACATCATATTGTGCCTTTTCCCTTCTTAGTTGCAATCCCCCTGAGCTTCCCATCAGCAAATCACCCGTGGAATGGTCACATGTTTTGGGGGTTTAAAGGACAAAAGTTTGGATTAGTTTAAGGTGAGTAACATGGTATGACATCTGTACATAGTGAAATGATCACTATGCTGTCTTGGCATTCGTGACCATACACACAAATTTTTTCCCTTGTGTTGAGAACTTATCAGACACCGACACCGTCGGCACCTTTGAAAAAGGCAATACAGTATTAATTGCAGTCACCATGCCGTCTAGTAAAGACCAAAGAATAATAGGCAAAATTTGGTACAGCCTGTCTGCCTGCAGCCACTTTCCCCACCTGCATGCCTCTGACAACAGTAACCCAAATCTATGAGCTCCTTTTTTAAAGTCTGCACACATAGATGAGCTCCTTACAGTATTTGTCTTTCTGACTTGTTTCACTTACACAATGCCTCCAAGATTCACCCGGCTCTGACAAATGGCATTTCTATATGACCACTAACAATCTATTCTATGTAGAAGCCATATTTCCTTTCTCCGTCAGTGCACACGGAATTTGTTGGCTATTGTAAATACTGCAATGAGTATGAGGTACCTATCTTTGTCTAGGTTGTTTTCCTTTTCCTTCAGAGAAATCCCCAGAAGTGGAATTACTGGATCTTGCGGTAGTTCTAATTTGGAGGCATCTCTGTAACTGTTTTCCAAGTGACCACGGCAAAGCGCAGCGTCTCAGTGTCTCTCACAATCTTGCCAGCAGGTAATTACTGGTTACCAAATGAAGTTGTGACTGTTCCGGAGTAGTTCTTTATATAAAACTCAGTATTTTTGTGATCTCAGTTGTAACATTCTCTTTGATTTCTGATATTAAGTCTTTCTCGATGAGTCTGAAAAGAAATCCAATTGGCAAACCTTTAGCCAAAGACCCAATTATTAGTTTCACTGAGCGTTTTGTATTTTAAGTATGTTATTGATACTTGCTCTGATCCGCAGTACTGTTTTCTTCCTTAGAACAACTTTGGGCTTTTTTTTTTTAATTTTGAGGTGTATAAAGTTATGTTGCTTGAGATTTTGTTTCTTCATAGACATTTGTCCATCAATTTTCCTTTTAGAAATATTTTTGCTGGATTTCCATTTTCATTTGTCTCAAGAAATCTTTTTCATTCTATCTCTTTTATATATTGCTTAGTAGGTAACTGTTGTATTTCCACACATGTGGAATTTTCGAGGTTTCATTTCTGTTAATTTTGCAATCAGAAAAGATGCATGATATAAGTTAAACCTTCTTAGAGACTTGTTCAGTGTCCTAACTTATGTGAGACATTAGGAAATGTTCCAGACCAATGTAGTCAATTCCTCTGCATGGAGTATTACTGTATATATCTACTAATACTTTCTGGTCTAAAGTGTCACTTAAAGAGTAGTGATACCTATTGGTCTGAGTGATTTATCTTGATAAAAGAGGGATGTTAAGATCTCCCACTAAGAGTGCATTGCTGGCCTTCTATTTGGGTCTATTAATAGTTGGCGCTTATAACTGGAAATATTTCATCCTTGTGTTGGATTGAGCCTTACTGTAGAATGACTCTCTGGCTTGTAGTAGCATTTGTAAAGTTATTTGTTTGCTGAAAAGTACAGCTATCCCAGGTTTTTGTTTCCGTTTGCATAGAGTATCATTGTGCACCTCTTGACTTTCAGTTGGTGTCCTTGTATCTAAGGTGAGGCTCCTGTATTGAACTCTGTGGACAATGTAACTTTAATTGTGAATAGGGTACAGTGGCCATTGAGATCATTAGTTTCTGGATTTGTAATTCCTGATTTGGTCTCAGTCCTGCTATGTGATTCTTCAGTGGCAAATTTAGAATCTTTTACATAGTTGTATCAGTATGCTTTTCTTCATGGTTTCTATGAGATTTACATATAACCAGTCACATCAAAGTCTCCTGTAAGATGATAATGAACTTGAATTTGAGCACATTTGAAGTTTCTACATTATTACTGTCTGTATATTTTATACTTTGGATGTTATACATTTTTCACTACTGGATATGCTTTCTCTTTGAGTTGTAAGAGTTCTTTACATAGATTCTCTTGTCTGATGTGCCAATCTTTCTCCCACTCAGTAGGGTGTGTGTTCGGTGGAAATTTTGCTGCTGTACCTTCAATTTTCCACAACTGAGAATGATGTTACCTGTGGGTTTGTAATATTTGTTGTTGACTAAAGTAGAGATACACTATTTATTGCCAGTTGAGGGTTTTCATCAGAAGTGGACGTTGAATAATGTCAAATGTGTAGACTACAATTGCTACCATAAATTTTTTATCTATTAAGTGATGTGGTGTACTACAGTGATGTTCAGACGCAGATCTGAACCATCTTTGGATCCCTGGTATAAATCCCACTTGGTGGCTAATCCTCTTGGTGGCTAATCCTGTGAATGCCTTTCTGAATTTTGTTTGCTAAGATATTGCTAAAGTTTTGCAGCTGTGCATTAAAATGTTGCTGTGTACTAGTTTTTGGTATAAGGGTAAGGTTTACCTCAGAATTAGTATGCAAATATGTATAACACCACAGGAACAAGAGCAAGCTCAAATAACCTTTTCTCTTTCCTCTAGGAGCTACCGAAACAGAAATCCAAAGCCAGTAGAAAAAGGAAATAACAAAACCTACAGATGAAAGAGATGTAAAACACAATCCAAAGAGTATTAAAACAAAAGGTGGTTCTTCAGAACACAGTGAGATTACCAGAAGGTTTGTCTCAGAAAATTGCCAATCATCTAAAAACTAGGAACCCCACACGATGCACTTGTGTCACATACAGGCATTTACCCAAAGAATAGGAATGAACTGGAGGGATCACTGCAGCATTATTCAAAGCAGGCAGGAAACGGAAACACTTTAATGACCCTGATGTGAGCTAACTGAATACTGCCACTTGAAACCAGCTGGATGGACTCTGGGGAGTACATTGGGGCTACCTGACCTAAATAAAACAAAAATAAAGT